TGCACAAGCACATACTGCAATGAACCCAGTCAGGAGAGAAGCTCGTCAATGTCAAAATACAGAATGTCTCAGTGCCGTCTCAATGTCTCCAAATAATCGTATACATCATCAAGTAGCCCGATGTCTTGTCACCAGAGAAGAAGAAGATGGAGGAGAGATGAGACTGAGAAGGTGGAAGAGCCAGTTTCCCTCTTCGACTTCAGGCATCTCTCCTCGCCACATCAGCAAACAGTCTCCTCTGACACAATCTGACACAAAGCCGGTCTCATGTGGCGCTTGTCAGCGAAGATAACTCGTGAAGACGATCAGCGGCCTCCACTGTCGACATGTCATCAAACAGGTAAGCTTCCCTTCGATCAACCAATCTCACAGCCCTGATCCTCCTCCTCGCCAATCCCCAAACAATGCTGCAGACAGTATGGCCAATGCCAAATCAGCATAGTCTCGGTAGCACACAGTGTGGCCAGCGCCACATCAGCATAATCTCAGATCCAGCTGGCGCCAAGACAGAGATGGCGCCAGCATCAAGTAAACGTCAAGCAGTCTAGCGTCGCCGTCCAATGTCAAACCAGCGCAGAGCCAGCTACGAGCCAGTGTAGTGCCAGCATAGAGCTAGCGTCCAGGCAGCGTCGAGCAGCAAGTGCAAGACTGAATCAATGTCGGTCAGCAGGGGCTGGGTCAACTTACAGTTGACTCGAGGTTGACCAGCCTCTGGTCTCTCAAATGCGACCGCCCAGATTGACCCACGGGCAATGGCCTGGATCTCTTCAGTTGCAGATTCCCACTTGGACTGGATTCTTGGGGGATACCTGCAAACAACCAATGCGTGTGTCTGGTCTGTGGCCTGGGCTGGGACTGTGCAGACTTTGACTCGTGAGCCCGAATTTCCGAGCTGCTGTCGACCTTTGACTTTCCACGGTCAACTGTTGCATGCAGGGCCCCTGAGAACCCTGTTTAGGCCGTGCTTCGGGTACCCACAGCAGCAGGCCTCATATCAGGCAATTCCCTACGACTTGGGTGCTGTTACTGTCCTTAGACCCAAGTGTCGACGTGTGGCTCAAGACTATTGCATATTCTACGTTGAGTTATTGCACATGCAGGTGTTGATCGAGTACTCAGCCGACAACTTGATCACAGCAAACATTTGGAACGATTCTATAGTTGGTTGATAATCATACAAAGTAGAATGCATGCACATGCACACGCGCGCACGCGCACACACACACAATGAATGTTATGTATGTCCGTGTTTTTCAAAGTACTTCTTTTTGTGTCCATGCGAGCACCTCAAAGCAGTCCTCAAAAGTTGGTGATTGCTGCTTTGGAGTGCCTGCAGCACTATTAGGGGCCCCACTTTGTATCTCATGTCTGTGTGATGCATTTGGTCTATGGGTGATCACAGTCATTCATCAGAGTGATTCCCTGGCTCAGCAGGTGGTGGGAACCAACAGCCTTCGAGGTTCTCCTTGTGGTGCGAGGCAGTGATGAGTTGCTTTGGTCCATGTTGGTTGTGTGGCCTGCCTTTTCTGCATCCCTCTGCTGCCTTGCAGCCCATGCTGCTTCAGATGACTATCCTTGGAGGCAGTCGGCTTGCCGTTTAGTTTGGCTGCTCTGTTGGTGTTGCCTTGTGCCTCGCTGTGTGGTTCCCCTGCTGCCCATCCACGTGCCTTGTCTTTCCTTGCAGGTTGCTTGTGCTTTGTGTAGTTTGGCTGCGTTGTTGGTGTCGCCTGACGCTCCATGGCACTGTTGCCTAGCTGGCCCCGTGCTTGAATCGCCTTGGTTTTCCATGTGGTTTACATGTTTGCCTTGTACTTTGACTGGTTTGTCAGTGCTGCCTTTTGCTTCGCTGCGTTGTTGCGTTGGTGCTTCTGCTTTCTGCATGGTTTTCCGTGTGGTTTACATGTTTCCGCTTTCCAAGGGTCAAAAGGTTCATGACCCAAAGCATCAATATGACGACCTGGGAGATTGTTGAGGGTTCAGGCTCTTGATGAGTTGGTGCAAGTCTGACGAAACAATCTATCATCATCAATTTTTTTTTTTTTTTTTTTTGGAATCATCAACGATTCGTCATCAGTTTTGTTTTGCTTTTTGTTTTTTTCGTGATCATCAACTTGAACTTTGTGCATTCTCCCTTGTTGACTTGCGCTGTTTGTTTGCCCACCCACCTCCCCATGGCTTCCAGCCTATGAGCCTTGCAGCCGCTTGAAGCCGTTTGCCTTCCTGTGTGTTACCTTGCTGCCTTTTTCCTTTACTGCCTTTGGCCCTCGCCCCCTTATGTTCCTACACTGCTTGCCTGGTTGGCTAGCAGTCTGCTGCCTTGCTGTTTTCCTCTTGGTACCTTTTACGGTTTTACCTTTTCCCTCGCTGCCTTGTGACCTAGCGCCCCTGGGCTCTAGTCCTTTTGCCTCGCTGCTGGTGTTTTTAGCTTTCGTATGTTTGAGATGTAGGTTCGCTTTGGCTTAACCATATTGAAGTGGATGTTTTATTTTTCTTCGGATGTCTTCTTATCGCGCTTCTCCATGCAACTCGCTGTGATTACCGTCACGGGGGTTTAGTCATCCATCACACACACACACACACACACAAAAAAAAAAAAAAAAAAAAAAAAAAAAAACAGAGATCGCACTGGCATACAGATACATGCACAACAACATACAGACGTTGAGTGAGTATTTACCCGACAAATGGAACGCAACGTACAGTTGGAACAATTCGATAACTGTTCAGCAAT